AGGAACTTGGGCAAACACAAGGGAAGCTAAAGGGCGTCAAGATGTAAATATCCCAGAAACTCTCCACAACACTGTGGATGATCAAAGCAGCACAGTCTGAATTCAAATGTGCAACAGGAAGACAGTGGGGTGGTGGAGGGTTGTTTTTTTTTTGGGGGGGGGGAGACTCCAAGTTTCAGACGTCACAACACAAAAAGCTTACACAGCAAAGTAAGACAGCCCACTAATTACTTACATTAAACAGACAAAACTTACCACTCTCTGTTCTGTTTCTCTGCCCAAGACATTCATCAACTCTTTCACTTTTATGCCTATTATCTATCAATTGCAGATCTGGGGACAACTAGCTAGAAAGCACTATGCCAGTTCCCACAGGACCCTCTCCTGTCATATTCACAAAGCCCTGAGGGCCTACTGATATGTATGAAATTAGAAAGGCCAACAGAGCATTCGCTCTCTCTAAAAGATTAAACTTGTGGCAGTACCCGGTATATTAAGGATTCCTGGCTCAGAATGTCTTGGGTATGCTACTCTTTGAAAACACCTATAGATTGAACAACCAGACGGTCATATGTTCTTAAACACAGACTGGATTCTTCACGCACATTGCTTTAGCTCTCACAAACTTGGAACATTTTCAAACAAAGAAAGGCCTGAATGATTGTTTTACAAAAATAATCTAGAACAGAGAACAAACTAGACCAATTTTCTGTTCCACGTTGGAACTCGTTTGCTAATTAGAGAAGCTGCCTTCTGACTTTGATGTGATCAGCTAGGAAAGAATCCTGCAGTAATTTACTCACTAACCTTCATGTTTGCTTACATGAAAAGTGTTCATATTAACTTTACTTTCAGGAGCATTCATAACATTTTCTTGAGGCCAATGTAACATATCTGCATAAAAGGCCTGTTGATTAAGAACAACAGCATTCTATGTAATATTTTAATCTGCTATTATAAGATTTCAGTATTTTGGTCTATAACTTTAGTCTAGTGCACATTTGTAAAGGGACTATCCTAGTTTCAGTTTTCGGCAATGCCATTGGGTGAAGCTGTAGGGCTCATAACAATATTATTCCTCATGTTAAAACCTCACACTCCTAAACTCATATAAGTCTTCATGTATACCACACTATACTTTATGTACAGTATAGATCACGGGACAGCTTCAGTAGTGGGTTTGAAAAGTCCCGTCCCAGAAACAGTTCCCACTTGTCCTGGTCAAATGACCTGCCATAAAATGACATAACCTGGGGTCCCAATAAGACAGGTAAACAAGCTTTAAGCCACTTCTGTTACCAAACAACCCACTTACTAACTGAATACTTCCTTGAACACCAGCAGTTTTCAGAAGTGATGTTGTAAGCATAATTAGCAGAAAAAAAGCTGAAGCAACATCTTTTTGTTTGGCTGTTAATTAGTTTACAAGCCTCTATCTTCAGTGCATTTTTTGGAAAGCAAAGTATGGAAAATGTAGCATTCATTCAAGTGTGGTCCAGATCCAATTCACAGTGACAAACGATCACCAAATCAAACCCATCTCTTCTCTACCAGCCAAAAACAACACACAAAACCTCACCTGGTACAGGTACATGGTATAGTACTCCTTACTGGGTAAAAAAAGAAGTGTCCTGTAATTCAAAATGTCCAAGTACTTCCTCTCACAGCTTAGATAGGACCAACAGCCTTAACAATGTATGTTTGATTTGCTGTGCCAAATTATACACCAAGCAGGACTATAATGAGACTCATAGTTATAGGTACCATGTTCCAGTTCCTTTTTAAGCCTCATCTGAAGAACTTTTTTACCCCTCCAAAAACAGGCACCAGAAACAAGTTTCTGGAAAAAGTACCAGTATTTCAAGTGTCATCAGAGTCATCAGTTCATTCAGAGAGGACAGGATTTTTGTTGTTCAGTCACACAGTCGATTCCGACTCTTCGTGACCCCATGGACCAGATCATGCCAGGCCTTCTGGTCTTCCGCCGTCCTCTGAAGTTTGCTCAATTTCATGTTCGTTGCATCTATGACAGTGTCTATGACACTGTCCAACCATACTGCTGACAAAAAACAGCCACTTCTATCAACTCCCTAAGACAAGGACTTGACAATCACCAGGTGCCAAGTTGCCCAGTATTTTCAGCAATGATTTTATTGCAAGCTCTCTCAGTTCTCTGTGGAAGTACAAAGTTTGTCATTTCACATCAGAAGAACGTTTTGTTGTACGGCATAAGAAGTGCATGAATTTCTTGCTATTGCTTGTTAACATGTAAACTTAACTTTATACCATTCACTGAGGATGAATTCATTTCTTCACTGAGGATAAAATTCATTTCTTAGCCAGTTGCTTTCTACACTGGCTCCAATATTCAATTAAGTGTAATGTTTTAAAGTGATAATGGAATTATGAGAAATGGAAAAAAGTGAGTTAGCTTTTTGTTGTTGTAACGATGACCGGATTACCTCTATATTTAATTATATACATTCTTTCACAGTTTTGATAAAATTACAAGACACTGTGAAGAAAGGAGGATTAGGTTTTGTGGTAGCAATAACTAGAAAATATGAACATTAATATAGGAAACCCTGAAGGCTGAAAAATGACTCAGGCTTAAATACAAAGAAAAATTGTCAAGGCCTGCCCTAACGGCCCATAAAGGTTCTAGCAAGCTAGCACTATTCTAGCCCATGATAATGTGGACTTGGGACACAATTTCATTCCAGTATGGGGAGAAGGACTGTGGTTCATGCCTATGACTCTGATATGTGTGAACAAGAGATACAAGAGTACTCATGTAGGCTCTGTATGTGCAACTGAGAACCCTGGCAAATACAGTGTCCTGATCACACACACAGGATCTCGAAACCTACACTTATAAGCACATAGGCTCGTTTGCAAGTCACCCCAAGTGAGAAAATTGGGGCAGGGCCATATACACAATCCTGATTTCTCCAACAGATGCTCCCTCCCTCCAGACTGTAACTTGTGAATGGTCATTATTCCATGCTCCAAGCCTGAACAGCCAAGACCAACAAATCTCCAAGACACATAAAATATAAATTGCTATGAACTTACTCAAATGCAAAGAAAAGGGTACAAGTTCCCACAATGAGGAACAAAGTCAGGTAGAAGATACCCTTCTGTCGGGCCATCATGACGCGCCCATCGCAACAGAATGTATTCCTTCCTGGCAGCTTCTCCCATTTCCGCGTCACCTTCTTTCTTGCTATCATCACAGACATGGCTGCACCTTCACAGAAGGCAGGACAGATGAGCTATGGTCCGTCTCCACTCCAGCCACTGGAATGTACACACCATCCTCTGAGACCCAGCCTCAGCCCCTGAAAAGATAAGACAAGAAACCCAGTCAGCATAGCTCCTCACACCCAGTCAGGATAGCTCCTCACGAGCCATCTACACTGGGGAAATTTAAAAAGTCCCAACTATGATTAGAGGGATTACATCCTTCCTGGCACACCCATCTCCTACATCCAGGTTTAGTCACTCACCATGCAGCACTTTTGTAAGTGACAGAAGGATCCAGTCCAACCCAACAGGAAGAAAAGAATGTGGCTTGTGCCACAGCTCCCATCACTTGGGAAACCTACCTCTTCCCAGGGCTTTGTAAGTGATTGGCAACTGTCCTACAGCAAGCAAGTAGCCACAGGCTGGCTAAAACAGCCCCAAGACACACCCACCTGTGAGTGAATTTCCCCTCACACCACCTGGGGCAAATGCCAAGCAGGCCCCAAGAACTGCAGTGGCACCTTACACAAGATTTTTTAACAAATGACAAGCCAATTAAGATTATGGCTGGCGAAAGCTTTGCCTTGCTCCTACTGAAGAATGTCTGGCAAGATTTACATTCACAGCACAGAGATTTTTGCAGGCCAAATGCAGATCATTAAATCAACAACGGGGCATCTCACTTGACCAGAGAAATAACTAGTAGCTTTTGCACTAAACTCAGGCCTTCCAGCACAGTTTTTAAAGACAGACCTCCAGTGGGTTACTCCAAAAATATCCAGCAGGAAAAACATCCTCCTCCTACAGAGCATAACAGAATAGTTTATTTAAAAACAAAAGCTTCTTACATTTTTCCTGCCCCGCCCTTACTCTTATCTCCTCTGAAGCATTCCACACAGAGATCTAACAGCAGAATGTGGAAAGTGTAGTACGCTGTTTAAAACCTAATTTACTTTTCCTCTTTAGCTTTGCTAATTCCCACAGGCTCACACTGCTTTAAAGCACAAAACAGGTATATTTCGAGTATAAAGTATGAAATTAGAAGAGAAAGAGACATTTACAGATTTTCAAATTCATTTACAGATTTAACTAGAAGTTAAAAAGAAAGACAACCGATCTGTTCTGTTAATGTAGTCCAACCCTCCTGTACTCTCATCATCAGTCGTTCAAGGAAGTAACAAGGCAGATTTCCCCTGTGCATTCAAAGACATGCTTATAGTTGCAGAGTGTGGATTCTACTCCACTACAATGATTGGGAATAGGCCAGCCATACCTGCTAGTTGAACCGAAGCAAGGAACAAAAAAGAGGGCTCTCTTGTTTTCCTGAAATTCGGGATTCTCCATCTTTCAGCACCTGGGAAAGCAGGCTCTTTTCCAACGCTCCTCACTACGGGATGGGAAAAATCCACCGAAGGACCTCTACCTCTCGCCTATTAAAAAGCAGCCGCCCAAGCGCCTCGCTTTATTTACTGGGCTCGACTAATCCTGAAAATCTAGATCCCTCCCCAATGGCTCTCCCTCTCTCTCGCATTCCCACACACTCTCCCTTCACCCACACTCTTCCTTCCAGAGAGACACATCGCAGAACCAAGGACGACCCCGCTTGACGCCCCGCCCGTGCCCAAGGCAAGCGCCACGAAAACAAAGAACAGGATTTATATATATAAAAAAATAAAAATAAACGAGCGGCGTGCAGACGAGCCGAGGCAGCCGGGATCCGCCACCCACCCTCCCGCACACGGGGAGCCTGCCTTCAGGCGTGGCTGCCTCCCATTGTTCCCGACGTGACCTTGTATCCTCGCCAGAACCCCGACGACGACCCGGGCGGGCTCTGGACCGACGCCCGTCTCTGTACACCCCCCCCGCCACGCGCATCGAGGGGACG